CCCCACATCAGGTCCCCCGGCCCAGGGTTCCAGTGCCAGGAAGACAAATCCCTAATGGGGACTGAGTCAGTGGAAGAATGGGGATTGAGATGGCAGAAGAAGCTGCTGGATTCTCAAGCAGTTCCTCTTAAACGACCTACACACAGAATTACTCAGACTTATTCCCTCTGAGCTCCAGTACTGGGAGAGTAGCTTGAAAGGCACCAGTAGTAGACAAGGAGGAACTGAAGTTTCTGGAGTCAGGGCAAGAGCTAGGGGATAGCTTTCTCCCAAACAGAAAGGCAGACAGAGGTCATTGTCCCTTCTCTGAACCCTCCTCTGTTAGAGCCACAGAGTCAGCAAGCAGGTGCCATATCTGAGACTCCATCAACCTGGCTGTCACTGTTGGACCCACCCTGGTTTTTCCCTGAGGCTCTTCCCCACCCAAATTATGGGCCCGCCCAAGCCCCATTAACAGTAGATTTTCCATATGAATGGCGGTCTTGGTTCATGCTTCACAACTTCCTAAATCCTCTCAAATGAGTAAGAGCCAGACTCAGAGAGCCCTCAGACCCTGGACACTAGCTAAGTGGCCCGAGGCCCAACACTAGCAGCACCCAACCTAGACTCACTGCTTGGCTTTGCCTGGAAACCTCCAAGTCTAACACAAGTAGCAGCCATCTACAGATTGTTTTGTAGCTCATGCTGGGTGGCCCCAGGCAGAACAAAGTTGGTGGCTGACCTTGGCCTCTACCATTTGGGAAACCCCAGAGCCTGTATAATCAGTGGACAGCTACATGCCACACTGAAGAACCACCAACCTGCCCCTGCAATGTGGATCTTCAATGGAGAGAGGAGGTTGGTGAGAAGTGGTCACAGCCAGTCATTGCAGCTGACTGGCCTGGGTAAATCCCTCCCATTGACCTACCAACAACAATCAAGGCTCAAGTACAAGAGGAGGGTGTACTCAGACCACAAAGAGGATGCACCTTGAGTACCTACCTTGGGTGATAGGGGAGGCTGTGCCAATGGACCCTACAGGACACCTACTACATTAGGCCACACTACCAGCATAGGGAGTCATAGCAGCTCCACCTAATATATAGAAACAAACATAGGGAGGCTGCTAAAATGAGGAGACAAAGAAATACAACCCAAATGAAAGAACAGATCAAAACTCCAGGTAAAGAACTAAATAAAATGGAGATAAGCAATCTATCACTTACAGAGTTCAAAACACTGGTTTCAGGATGCTCAAGGAACTTAGTGAGCACCTCAACAACATAAAAAAGATTCAGTCTGAAATTAAGGCTACTCTAATTGAAATAAAGAACAATTTACAGGGAATCAACAGTAGAGTGGATGAAGCAGAGAATCAAACCAATGATTTGGAACATAAGAAAGCAAAAACAACCAATAAGAACAACAAGAAGAAAAGAGAATTTGAAGAGAATGTTTTGAATCTGTGGATTTTATTTTTTCAACCATATTTTATCCAAAAAATAAAATAAGGATAGAGTGAGGAGCCTCTGGGACAACTTCAAGTGTTCCAAGATTCACATCATAGGAGTGCCAGAAGGAGAAGAGAAAAAGCAAGAAATTGGAAATCTATTTGAAAAAATAATGAAAGAAAACTTCCCTAATTTGGTGAAAGAAATACACATGCAAGTCCAGGATGCACAGAGAGTCCCAAACACAATGGACACAAAGAAGTCCACTGCAAGACACATCATAACTAAAAGGCCAAAAGTAAAGATCAAGAGAGAATCTTAAAAGCTGCAAGAGAAAAGAAGTTAGCTGCCTACAGGGGAGTTCCCATAAGACTGTCAGCTGATTTCTCAAAGGAAACTTTGCAGGCTAGAAGGAATGTCAAGAAACATTCCAAGTCATGGAAAGCAGGGACCTACAACCAAGATTGCTCTACCCAGTAAAGCTATCATTTAGAATCAAAGGGCATATAAACAGCTTCTCAGATAAGAAAAAACTAAAGGAGTTCATCATCACCAAACCATTATTATAAGAAATGTTAAAGCAACTAATTAAGAAAAAGGTCAAAACTACGAACAATAAAAAGGCAATAAATATACCTCTATCAACGAGTGAATTTAAAAACTAAGCAAACAAAAACAGAGACAGAATCATGGATACAGAGAGTGTTCTGATCATTGCCAGATGGGAGAGGGGTGTGGGCAAATCGGTGAGGAGGTGAGGAGATTAAGAAGTACAAATAGGTTGTTACAGAATAGCCATGTGGATGTAAAGTACAATCTAGGAAAAGGAATGTTGGGACCTGTCCTGTCTTGTTTCAGGGACTGCAGCCCAGCTGACAGGCAACAGGGTCCCAAGACTGGAAATAATCAAAAAGGCCTTGAGAAAACAGGCCACTGAGGAGACAAAACCTGTCCCCCTGGCAAGGGCACAGCCCCTGCCTCCCTCTCATCACCCTGCTTGGCCCTGTGATGGTCAGTTAGTCAGAGATGGGTAAGATCTCTCATGAGGAGGGATGACCTAAGACAGACATTGCTGGTATGGGCAGCAGACAAGGACTTGGGGGACACAGAGAAAGGGCCAAAAGGCCTGCACTCCTCTGCTCAGCTTGGGTATGGCTGGGGTCCTCATTCTATCTGAAAAAAGTCTCCTTATCTCTTGGGAGCTCTGCCCTGCCCGCCTGGCTCAGGCTTGAAACAATACTAAAGGCAGGTACAGCCCTAAACTGGATCGGGCTGTTCCTGGGGAAAATCAGGCACAGAAGTTCGTTCCTGAAAGCAAGCTTTGTTCTTCCCTCAAAAGCTATGATAACCAGCTCATATTAGAAAAGAGATTTACATTATTCATAGATCCTGGCCTGAGGCAGATCTCTTGTGTTCCTTCAACTGTTATCCATAATTTCTATTTGTTCTCTGTTAACATAGCCTTTTGACATTGATTAATGAGCTTTGCATCCATACCCCTGTGCATATGGTTCTCAATAAAAGCCTTTGGACATGGGAGCTCAGGGCCTTCTCCACTAGAGGGAAGAGCCATGTCCCCCATCCTGGCAAACAGAGAAGTGTTTGAGACGATGCGTGTTTATTCCCTGCATCTGCGACAACCCTGGGACAGGCTCTGGGGGATTCAGAGCCCTGCTCCCTTCTCAGATGGCTCTGGACAGCAACCCTCAGATCTAGAAGCACCCCACACGGCGCTCCCCACAACAAGGAGTAGCCAAAGGACTTACAGGCATGACCCATGGACATGAACAATGTTGTGGGGATTGCCTGAGGGAGTAGGGTGTGCTAAATGGAGAGGGGCAAAAGGGGAAAATTTGGGACAACTGTAATAGCATAATCAATAAAATAAAATTTTAAAATATAATGGTAATAATCGTGATATTTGGCATGGTGCATAACCATGACCAGGCACTGTTCAAGCGTTTTATGTATATTGACCTTAATATTCATAAGAATTCTAGGAGGAAAATATTATTCTTTATCCTCATTCTATACACAAGGATACTCAGGGGTTACTTGAGGCACGGCATGGCCAGTAGGTGGCAGAGCTGAGTCCTGAACGCAGGTTGGCTTCGGAATTCCTATGCTTAGCTGTTATCACAGGTGGTCCCCTCTTAAAAGTTATGCTTTTACTAGTACCTATCTGCAGTACATAATAGACTGGCAGAATTTGAAGTAGAAAAATGAAGGTTTCAATCCTAAATTTCCTCTGCTACCCTGGTCAGTTTACATAGTGAAGTTTAGATTTTTTTTCCTTGTAAAATAAAAATAATTTCTCCTGCCTACCTTATAGTTTATTGAGTAGAATGAATAAAACATTGTATGTGAAAGTGCTTTGTAAAGTGCTATGTAAAGAGTTACTACATGAACTTTGGGCATGTCAGCTGGGCTGTAGCTTCAGCTGTGTGTAATGAAGTGCTCCATAAAGCGAATTAGGTCACAGGTGGAAGATAGCAGAGCTCTGACTTGAACCCATATATAAAACCTGTGCTTTTAACTACACCACTGCACTCACTCCTCTGAAATTTGGGTACTGTAATATCTGATAGTGCACCATTGTTTTCTTGTGCAGTTTTGTTAAAAATAATGTAAACATAAATTGTCCTCCAAGAATTTCCCACAAAATGTTTTTCTGGTAGGCCTACATCAGAAATTCCTACCTCTGACTTACAAAATGAACTAACAGAGAGCAACAGAGAAAGATAGGTCAAGTGATTAAAGCTATAAAGTGGGTGTCCAAGCAACTGGAAACACTTGTCGGAGGAAGACTTCTTACCTTGGCAAGGTGGGAACATTCCAGACAGGCGCCTTTGAGACTCTGGTTTAGAAAGCAGGTCAAATTCCCACACAAGAGGGGAATGTTTATCAATTTGGGAACTTTCTGAGGATACTCAGGGAAGAGAGTGATAATGGGTCCTTCCATCTCATACTTACTACTTCAAGCAAGATTTCACCATCTCTGGGCAAGTGGGGGTAAAAAAAATCAAACTAAAAGAAAAACCATATAAATAATAGTGCTAGCACTCTCCCCCTTTGCCCTCTAGCAAATCCCTCACTCAGAGTTATAAATCTTTGCAATATCGCTGAAGTAGAAAATCTATAAATCTACCAAGAAGTACTGGCCAAGTGTCTCCTGTGTGATTAGCCCATGCATGAACCTGGGGTTAGCATATTAAATGCTTTTAATCTAACAGATGAGGTTTTAGAAACCACTACATGCCAGGTTTTGTGTCACCAAACATAAATGTAACAAACTTCAAGAATGTAAGTTCCCTGAATAAAGAATAAAGAAAGATGAAAAGAAAAAAAAAAAAACATTGAGAAAGTCTGAGAACACAGAGCTCAGTAAGCCCAGTGTGGTTTATATCATAATATATCTAAAGTAATGTGCAAGTCATTACTAAAACCTCTTTTTAATACATATTAAAATCAATCTTTATTTCACATAAAATAAAAATGAAGATAGTGGATAACTAAGTCTAATACAGACCTTTTAACTTAAAAATCACAAATATTATATATCTTTCCCTGGTTATGCTATACCTCTGCCATTCATCCATTTCTTCATTCACTTCTTCATGAGTTGACTGTGGGGGTGGAGTCCAGCACTGCAACAAGGGCTTGGCCTGTGAAGATAAATAAACTGTGGTACCTGCTGTCTGGGCTTGGTGTAATCACTCAACAAGTGGCAATAACTATAATATAATAAAGACAAATTACTATGTCAGCTGAAATACAGAAGTAGGCAGAGCTTAAGGTAGGGTGAGGTAAAGTAGTAAACCACTCTGTTTTGGCAGTCTCTGCTCTGGTCCCACTTTTCCCGGGTCAGGGAATATTCTATTATGCATTCATATCCTCTCTTGTTCCATTCTTCCACTCCTCTCACTATCTTTTTTCTCCTACAGCAAAGGAAAAGAAAGTCAAAGGAGCTATTAGGTTGACTAGGGGAAGGAAACAGAGGAAACCATTCTAGCACCTTGCTAAGCCATGACCCTTTTTCTTGAGGCATGGGGGAAAGGAAGGACTGGCTTCTGATAAGGTAAGGGGCTTTTATTGCAGTCCTGTGTGAGCTGTAAGGGACCAGAGAGGTCATCCTCCCTACTTTTTATTTTACAGCTGGGCACATTGAGGCTTAATGACTAACCTAAGGCCACACAGCCAGTTAGAGGCTTTGGTAGGACTAGAACTCAGACTTAACTTCCATCAAGGTTAGGATGGACCAGTGGAAAACTTCTAATGCGGGGGCGGGTGGGGGGGGGGCGAGGAAGAGAGAGAGAAATTCCACTACTATCTTCAGTCTCTTTAAACTTATGTTTTTGACAATTAGGCAGTCCTTAATATCTGGTCCTCCAAAGAAATGGAGAACAATTGATTAACCTAGTCGTCCCACAGCCTTTTGTACCTTAAGGAAAACCACATCATGACCCTCACTCAAAGGACCTTGATTCATTATCTTTTAATATTTTTGTTACTCTTCCCACAGGACTGACCAGTTGTTTCTCTATGTCCTTTTCAAAATACGGTGACTCAACCTGAACCTAAAGCTCTAAAAATTTGTTGGGTGGAGTAAAATATCTTTGTGCTCCTTTTTTTTTTTTTTTTAATGCATTCTAACTTTGGCTTTTTGCTTTTGCTTGTTATTAAATTTTCAAAAAAAATCACTTATTTTCAATGTGTTAGTAACAACTTGGAGAAATTTATATTATTGATTTAGTTTTTCTTTTTCTTCTTTTTCTCCTTCTCCTTTTTCTTCTACCATTTGTCAGCTTCTCACTGTGACCAGGTGGCAGATACATGTCAAGAAAACTAATCACCTTCTAACAGGATTTGGAACAGAATTAATGCGGATCTTGGGCCCTTCCTGTTCCAGCTTTAGCAGCCCAACGTCTATAACAGTTGAGGAAGATTAGTTGGCTGGCAATTGCATCCCACAGTATCTCATCAGGGCCTGGCTTCTCTCTTTGGGACCTAGGAAGTGAATTTTGTGAGATTTAGAACAAGAGTTTATCCGAGACAGAGCCTGGGATTGTGACTGAAACTGTCCAAACCATCCCCGGACGCCCAGTTAGGCAAACGCGTCTCTTTCAACGTGATGCCTCTAAGTCAACCAGCGCATCCTGCCAGACAAGTTCCTGCTTCTGGACATCTCTGAACCTCCTACACCCCGCAGCGAGTCGAGCTGGTGCGGCGGCCGAGTCATTTGAAGGGGCAGTGCTAACCGCTGTCACTACCTACCACGCGTCTTTCAGTCTTACCAGTTGTTCGATGACAAGTCTGCAAGTCCTCACCCCGCACTTCCAAGCTCGGAGCTCGTCCCTCCTCCGCCTCGCTCCAGTTATCCAGCCCGCCCAGGTCGCACCTTTTCTCAGTATCCCTACCTGTGTGCGCGCAGACTTGGGGCGGAGCCGTGGGGGCGGGGGGGAAGGCTCGTGACGTCACTCCTCGGCGGGGGAGGCGGGGCTGTGGGAACCGCAGTGCAGCGCAGAGGGGCGGGACGGGGAGGGGCCTGCGGCGCGTGACCTGGCTGCGGTAGGCAGAGGCTGCGAGAAAGGTGTAGGGGGGCCGGGACCAGCCTTGTCCGGAGGCGGGGCGGGGAGTGGCAGGGCCCTGGCGGCGGGCGCCCAGCGGAGCTCTAAATCGGGTCACGCTTCCTTCCTCTCTTCCCTCCCCTTCTTCTCTTCCCACCTGGGCCTCTGCGTGGAGACGCGCACCTGGCAACCAGTGGCCCCACTCCGCCGCGTCCCCGCCTTCTCCGCTCGGGCCGGGCGTCCGGAGCCTGCCCCGCAAGCACCGGAGCCGGTCCTTGGCCCCCGGGGCCCGCCCCACGTCCCTCTCCCCTCTGCCGACGCCGCGCTCGCTAGAGGCGGCCTCGAGCGCTCGCTCGTTGATGCCGTTTTGGGGGTGATCCGCCGTGGCGGCGGCGCCTCCAAGGTGGGGGCGTGTTAGTGGTCGCGGCTCTGCTTGACGTTGAGTGCGCTGCTGCGGGGTGAAGAGGGGCCCGCCAGTGAGACCTCGCGCGCAGTTCGGGTTTGGGGCGCTGGAGGCCGCCACGGCCGCGCTGGAGCGGGAGATGTTGGAGCTGAGGCACCGGGGAGGCTGCCCCGGCCCCGGGGGAGCAGTGGCGCCGCCACCCCGCGAGGGAGTGGCGGCCGGCGGCGACCACGAAAACGAGAGCACCAGTGACAAAGTAAGTAGAGACGCGAGAGTCGCACACCCACGCCGCGGCTAGGTCCTGGTTTGGGCGGGACACCTGGGAGCAAGGGTGGGGCCCACGGAATGCAGGTGAAGCTGTGGGCTGCCCTCTGCGCCTTCCTCCCGGCCTGGCATTAATTCCTTCTTGCTAGAGGGGGGTCGAGAATCCGGACCCCTGTGATGGTGCGTTTCCCAGGATGACCGCGGCTGCTGCCCGGCGTAGCTGGGTGATTCAACTTGACTAAAGTTTAGGTTCTTCCCATTCTAGCCCCTCGCCCTCCCTGGGGTCTGGGGTCGACGCTAGAATCTGGATGGAACTTGCAGGCGCCCTACGAGCTGCAGTTTTCTAGTAGCCGCCACCTCAGACCTCTCCTTGGTAGGGGAACAAAGTTACTAAAGGACTAAACTTAAGACAAACACCTTCGGTTCTAACATGTCATTGGATCCTTACGCTGGAGGCTTGGTTTCTCGCGCTCCCCCATCAGCACTTTCGTTTCCTTGTCCTTTTTCAGTGAGAGAGATTCTGAAGGTTTAAGAGTATCATACACATGACACAGTTGAATCCTCCTGCTTCTTTTGAGTCCACGGAAGACAGTGTAGGTCTTCTGTCTACCAATAGATTTCATTTGACCTGACAGGCTACTTCCTGAGAACTTTCTAACTTCCATTTTTATAGATTACCCTTGCTTCACATTTGAGAATAAGGAGAGGTAATACTCCTATTTAATGCTAGAAAAATAGTCAACGTTTTGCTTATTTCAGTCAAATACAGTGGTGCTGGTATGAATTTTGGGGGGAAAAAAAACAACATGCAGTACTGTGACCTTTTAAGTCTGGATGACAAGTAATTGGGAAAGAGGATAAATTGTTTTATAATATCATCTGTTGATAAAATTTCATTTTATCTCAGAAGCTCAAAGCATTTAAATGGTTCCTAGACGCATTCTTTTTGGAAGCAGGTATTGCAGTTAGAATTACAGAAGTGAAGTGTATTCCCCAAGGTCAAGTCAGTGGCCTTTTGGAACTAGAACCTGTTTCCTGATGCCCTTTCTTCTGGTTCGTACTGTTGCTGAGACTCCCTGGCAGCTCTGATTTGGGGAGGGTTTCACCTGGAACTTGATGTTAACGTTAATGTAATCCAAATTACAAAGCCCTGGTAAGAACATATCACATAGTATCATGAAATAATTAATTTAACAGTGATTTCAGGAATGAAACTTTAGAATCAATGAGATGGCATCTCCTTTATTTTTTTCACCTACCTTTGATAGCTGGTGGAATAAAATGAGAGTGATAAAAACAACCTACATGTCAAGGAATTACACAAAATATAACAGTTTCCAGCTTCTGAAGGTTGATGTTACAAAACTAGAAACAGTAGGCTAAGAATAGTCCTTGTGAAAACTGCCTTGGAAACTAGACCAAAAATAGAATTAATTAGGTTGGGATTTGTTTTGTTTTAGCACTGGTATAGTTTAGAATCAAGGAAATACCAGCTCCCCCTGTGTGTACTTCCTTAAGTAGAAGCAGCTAACAAGCTTTTAGTAAGGGAAAACATGTTCAGGAAGCCATGCATAAAATAATTTTTGAGTTAACTTAGTTTCTTAACATCCCAATATAGTTAAAATGAAAACTATTTCTATGGTTTGATTTAACTCAGCGCTGTTGTCTCGGTGACTAGATCACCTCACTGCGTATGTATGTATGTATGTATTTATTTATTTATAAATGCTGCACTGTTGGTTTTCATTAACGCAAACCCAGCTGTGTTTTTTTAATTGTTTTCTGAGAGTAGACGTTGCCATATGTAACCTCTTAAAATTTCTTAGACAAGGATGAGCATTTTCAAGTTGTGTCTAAAATATTACTGTACTTTTAGGGTTTATCACAAGGAATTCTTGGAAAGCTTTGAGACATTGAACTCTATCTTCTGTCCATCTTATCAGGGTGTATATTTGAATACTCCTGTAATTTCAAGGTCAAGGACTACATCAGTGGCTGGTTAATATTTGGTTCATTTAATCTCTTCTCTGTTCCAGTTGTGGTAAAGGCAAAATACATAGGGAATTAAAGAAAGTAGAGGAGGAGGTACTTTGTATTCTATTATAGTACACTCCTGTGCCTTTTGTTGTGTTTTAATAACGGTGTTACTAATGTGACATTCTCATTGTTGAGGACCTGGAGACTTACGCTAAGAGAAGGCTCTGTGCTCAGGATAATTAGCAAGTGAAAAGTGCTTCTTACCTGCAAGGGGATGTTCCCCATATTAAATGCTGGAGAAATACTTGAGAGATGACAAGACCATCCCTTCAAGGACTCCTCTTCCCCCAGGAGACATATATGAATTAGATTTATTAGAAGTCTGAACAAGGTTCATTGTTCACATCAAGGGCATAGTTGGACTCTACATGGAGACAGCAGGAAAAGCTTTGAGGAGGAGGTCCGAGTTGAGCTTGGAACTGAAAGGTGCCTGGGGACTTGCCAGGTGGACAAGTGTTGGGAAAGGATATTCTAGGCAAAGGGCATAGGGAGCTGTTTTTTGAATCAACATTCTAGGCACGGGGCCCTGAAATTAGTTTGGCAATCCTGGAGCATATCTTGGGAGGTGGGGTTTGGGGATTGAGAGCTTGAGAGTCTTGTGAAGGAGGTTAGGCTTTATTGCATGGACTTTGGGAAGCCACTGAAAAGTGTTTGCAAAGGCAGTAGCTTATCACTCAACAGTATTGAGAAAGTGTTAGAAGGGGGAGAGAGACCTGCTACAAAGAAACCAGATAGTGGAGTAGTGCAAGTGTTATAGATATGAAATGATAAGGGCTTGGAGTGATTCTAGTAGGGGTAGGGGAATAGGGGTTGGGAGAGAGGATATATTTTAGATAATGCTAATAGGACCTAGACTAGGGTGATCAAAGTCACACTAATTAAAGAAGATCCTGCCAGGACACACATTTTAACCCACAACTTGAGAGTCTTTTAGGAAAGAAGCAAAAATCTTTGGGGAGTTTTGCAGGGTAGAAGTGAGCACAAGTGAGCTGGGTTGAATAGGGTGTGTCATTCTCCAAAACAGAGAGGAGGTTCAAGGTGGTGGTAGAAACTGAAATGAAAGGCTAGGTTGGAGATGTCAACTTATGAGTAGGATAGAGAGGGAAGAGAACTAAAGACAGAGCCTTGGAAGATGCCCACATTTAGAGCAGGTTTGGAGCTGTGGGGAAGGAACTGACATTATGTGGTTCTGGGAGTTAGGGGAGAGGGAGTGCTTAGAGGAGGCCATCAGTAGTGTTTAGGAAAGAGGATGAGGCATGGAACATGTGAGTTTAGCAAAGATCTTAGTAGAAGCCACGTTTTTGGTTGAGGAATGTAAGAGGTGAAATACTGGTAATTATTGTCCAGAAGTTCCAGCAAAAGGGAATGCAGGATAGAAGCTGGAGAGGACCAGAGGAAAGTGAACCTTTCCTTATCATGGGGAGGAAGATAAGCATTTGTGTGAAAGAAGCCAAGAGGGAGTGAAGCTGCTGATGAGGATGGACAGGACCTAGAAAAAAGAAAGCGGAGGTGGTGTGAAGAACACAGAAGATTAGGATAGCTAAGGAAAAGAATGAAGGAATGGAAGGTGGATGCAGAAACATTTTGAGAAGCAGAAGAGGGAAAATCAAGGTGTTTGACTGATGCTTTCAATCTCAGTAAAGTGGCGTCTCAGAACCATACTGCTGCAAGAGATCTTAGGAACAGCATATTAATAGTTTAATCCTATATATGTTTAAAAATAATAATCTTGCTGTAGAGTGTAGTTTTTATTCCCCAAGATGACCTAGAGCTAAGTGGCAGGGCTGGAACTAGAATGGATATCTGCCGGGACACCTTTGGACACCTCATTTCAGCGAGTGTGATATGAAGTGACCAAGAGGCAACTAGTCCTTAACTCGGTAGCAGTAATAGTCATAATAGTTGATGCTTGCAGTGATTTAGAGTTCAGAGAGTACTTTTACACCTTACTTTATTCGCTTCCCATAACAAGTATGTGTGTTAGGAATATCCCCCATTTAAGAACTGAAAATAAGAAAGGCAGTAGGAGTGATTTCCGCCTGGGAATTCCAGGTGTGGCTGACCTCGAGTTAGGGTGGGCAGGGAAGTACTGAAGCCCAAAGTGGGTTATTGAAGCTCTAGATGAGAGGGCATGAGCAATTGCAAATGAAGCTAAAAACTGATTTACTGGACCAGAGTAGGAGAAAAGAGGGTGCATGTGGACATTGTGGCCAGTAAAGGGAAGCACACGTTGGAACAGTGTCCCTTGTGTGCTTGTATGTGAGATCGCTGTTTTGATAGAGTTTGGTTTGTGAAGTTGAGGGTGAAAGAGTTTGGAGTCAGTTAATTTCTGTCTTTCCCCATCTGAGGTGTGTGTAGTTTTTCATAAATACTCTAATACTTTTTAAAACAAACTTTTAATTTTTGAAGTTGTGTTTCTTCATTTGGAACACTTCACTGTGTGTTGTCTTGGTGTCACCTGCATGTGTAATAAACATTTTCTATAATTTTTCTATAAATCTAGGTTATTAATAAAATGCTAATATTTAGATCTAGACTTCTAGAATATCATTTTGGCTGATACTTCTTAATTGTTGATCAATTGGCAGCCAGTATTACCACCTAAGTAATTTTCCAAGATTCTTTTGTCATTTGCAGCATATTGATTTTAATATTTAACAACATGTTTTGAATGCTGGCTCCCCAAATACCACCAACCATCAAAATGATAAGACAAAATTCAGTTTATGGCTTCATGCGGTGAGGGAAAACACCCTGACAGTTTTCGCAGTCTTGGAGGGAGAAAGGCAATGTTGGATTTTTTGAGAATTGGGGTCTTTCAGTGCAGAGGCTTGATTAGGATTGCTTAAGGATCACAAAATAACAGTTTTGGATTGGTGGTAATAGCCAGGCAAGGATTTTTGGTCTTTGGAGGAAACTTGTTTGTTGATGCTCCCTATAAAGAATTGATGTATC